TACCCAGGCTGGAGTGCAATGGCGAGATCTCGGCTCACCGCAACCTTCTGCCTCAGCCTCCTGAGTAGCTGGGATTACAGGCACGCGCCACCATGCCCAGCTAATGTTTTGTATTTTTAGTAGAGACGGGGTTTCACCATGTTGACCAGGATGGTCTCGATCTCTTGACCTCGTGATCCACCCGCCTCGGCCTCCCAAAGTGCTGGGATTACAGGCTTGAGCCACCGCGCCCGGCCTCCTTTCCATTTCTTAATATATGTTTCATTTTATTTTGCTACAGTAGTACATCCTTGAATAACTCTTTCAGAAAGACTGGGTTTAGTCTCTTTCCCTCACATTTGAATGCTGGGTTGGCTAGGTGTACAATCTTTGATTCACATTCATTTTCTTTTAAAATTTTGAAGACATTGTATCCTTCTTGACTAGGATTTAGTGCTGTCAACCAAAGAGATATCTGATGCTTTTCCTTACCTTCAGACTTTTTTTTACATACTTTTCTTTCCTCTTCATTGCAACTTCCCTTATCCAGACATCCAGATGACCCTCCTCCCCCTATTTTTAAATTGACTAACATACAAGTAAAATGTGTAAGTACTTAGTGTATAGTTTGATGAACGTTTATGTATACACATTCATCTAACTGCCACCCGGATACAGAGAACATTTACAGCATCCTAAATTCTCCCTCACCCCGCATTCCCAATCCAGATAAGTAACTACTGCTGTGACTTCTATCTATAGAAAGTTTTGCTTATTCTTGAAACTTATATAAGTGGAATCATATGGTATACAGTGTTTTGTGTCTGGTGAATGCCACGTTTTCATGTTCTTTCCAAATAGAAACTTGAGGAGAGGCTAGAGTTCTGGATGGAGAAATATGATAAGGACACAGAAATGAAACAGAGTGAACTAAATGCTCTCAAAGCTGCAAAGGCCAGTGACTTAGCACACCTTCAAGACCTCGCAAAGACGGTAAGGAAGTCATCAGAGCACTCACTGCATAGTGAGTAGTAACTAAGTTACAGTAGCTGGTATTGCTATTTTGGGTCAAAAGCGGAGGTGTGCTTATAAACCACCAGGATTCTTTTTAGATGCTGCTGCTGCTGATGGGGACAGAAGCAGTGGCTAACACTTATACAGTGCTTACTCTGTGCAAGGCGCTTTTCTAGTATTTTACATCTACAACTTATTTAACCCGCACAACCCCTTGAGGTAGATACTATTATTTCTACACTATGATCTCTGAAGACACTTTGTCAATGATGATTTCTAACAAGCTTGTGATTATGGTTTCATTATGGAATAAGCACAGATTTCCTGATTTTTTCTTTTTTTGAGACAGAGTCTTGCTCTGTTGCCAGGCTGGAGTGCAGTGGCGCAGTCTCGGCTCACTGAAACTTCTGCCTCCAAGTTCAAGCAATTCCCCCGCCTCAGCTGCCTGAGTAGCTGGGACTACAAGTGTGCGCCTCTACTGCTGGGTAGTTTTTTGTATTTTAGTAGAGATGGGATTTTACCACATTGGCCAGGATGGTCTCAGTCTTCTGACCTCATGATCCGCCTACCTCAGTCTCCCAAAGTGCTGGGATTACAAGTGTGAGCCACTGTGCCTGGCCAAATTTCCACCAGCCTGGGTCACATGGCAAAACCCCATCTCTACTAAAAATACAAAACTTAGCCAGGCATGGTGGCACACACCTGTAATTCCAGCTACTCAGGAGGCGAAGGCACAAGAATCACTTGAATCCAGGAGGAGGAAGTTGCAGTAAGCCAAGATTGTACCACTGCACTCCAGCCTGCGTGATAGAGTGAGGCTGTGTCTCAAAACAACAACAAACAGCTACTATTTGTATATGTACATTCTCCCAAAGTGTTTTAAAAATGCAATGTTATTTTGAGGTCATTAATCACACATGAATTCATATTTCATTTTTTATGAAACATAAAATTGAATTATTAAAACGGAAAAGTTTTGGGAACAATTATAAAGTTAGTATGTGAATATTTCCAATCTAGGTATCTACAAAATTTTTTTCTTTGGTTTATCTTTAGATTTGGCATATTTTATTTTGGAATTTTATATTAAAAGCACAGGGCTGACTGGGCTGCAGCTTAGCCAAGACAGTTCGGTAATAAATGATTAATGTCTATCCTTGCAGATAAGAGAGTATGAACAGGTCATCATTGAAGATCGTATAGAAAAGGAGAAGAGCAGGAAGAAGGCAGAACAGGATCTCTTGGAATTAAAGAGCGTCATAAAGGTAAAGAACCATCATCAGTATCTCACCATAGCCGGCCTAACACTGAGGAACACAAAAGCATTTCTCATTCATTATCAGACGCATCTTGGCTTACCAAGGAACTGGAGATCTGAGCAGCAGCATGGACTTCTGTCATTATTAGAATTTGCCAACACAGTCCATGGTGCAGGGAGACAGTTGTAAAGACGTGCCCCAGCTTTTCATCTGGGGAAAAAGAAGTGGTTAGCAGTGGAAGCAAAACCTAGGCCCAGAGACAAAATGTGAGAATACTATGTCTAACCAAAACCGGCTCTTGACAGAGTCTTTTTAATACGCTACTACTTCTGAAAATCCTGCTTATAAATCAGCCCCAACTATCTGCTGGGTTCTGATACAAGCTGCTTAGGTGGGAAGGGTAAGCAGCAGGTTAGAAAAAGAGGGTTTTTTTTTGGTTTTATATGAACTTGTATACATCAGTGATGATGAAACTGACAGGTCACAGATCACACGAAATACTTGTAAGCAAAAACTTAAAGCAGTATTAGCGGGGCGCAGTGGCTCATGCCTGTAATGTCCCAGCACTCTGGGAGGCTGGGGTGGGTGGATCACGAGGTCCAGAGATCAAGACCGGCCTGACAACATGGCGAAACCCCATCTCTACTAAAAAGAGAAAAACTTGCTAGGTGTGGTGGCACACGCCTGTAATCCCAGCTACTCGGGACGCTGAGGCAGGAGAATTGCTTGAACCCAGGAGGCGGCGACTGCAGTGAACTGAGATTGTGCCACTGCCTGGCAACAGAGCGAGACTCCGTCTCAAGAAAAAAAAAAAAAAGGAAATCTGACTTCTTTATACTGCTTTCCTTGAAGAAAGGCCAGGTTCCCCATACCTACCAGCTACTTGAACCAAAAAGAATGTTAGTTACCTGGGCCAAGGGCAAAGGCAAACACTCGGCCAAAAATGCACAGTTGATGCCACGTGCCTCCCAAAGTGCTGGGATTACAGGTGAGAGCCACCGTGCCTGGTGGAAGTCAGATTTCCAAGTATGTAGAAAAAGTAGGCCAAATCAGATTCCTTTTTCACTCCTTGAGAACTTCACTCGAGTTCATGGCTTACGCTCCAGGTCCTGCACAACAGGAGAGCATGGCTATAGTGATTACGTGCCCTGCCACTTCCATGTGCTGCATAGAGACCATTTTTCAGACACGTTACTTTACTAAACAATCCCTTTACGTGGACAGAACCAATGTTCACAACTTACGTTGTACTCACCCCCTTTCCTCCTCCAGATCCAGGCCTGGTGGCGAGGCACTATGATACGGAAGGAAATTGGTGGTTTCAGGATGCCTAAAGACAAAGTTGATAGCAAGGATTCAAAAGGAAAAGGCAAAGGCAAGGATAAGAGAGGCAAGAAGTGACCGTTATCTTCTGTCTTTTCCTCTGGCACTCTGGAGGTGGGAAGGGCGTGGAGAGAGTTAAGAACCGCCTCGTACCATCACAGGTGACTCATCTACAGGTTGTTTCCCATGGAGATGCTTCCAGGCGAAGCCTGCTGATTTCACTCTCTGATTTAGGATTATACCATTGACTTAGGGCTTTCTCATACCTTGCTGTAAAGAAATTTCTGGTAGTCCTGTGAAGATTCATTCTTCTTGCTCTTTCTCAGCAGAACCAAGCAGTTCTTTGTCCTAGTACCAGTGATGCATTAAAACTTCAGTAATTCCTGTAATGTCTGATTCTTTTACCCAATTGTCTGTAGTGAAAAAATTCTTATGAGCAAAAGTATTGAGTAGGAATTATAAAATGATGTTTATTAGCTGTCCAGCATAATACATACACAGTAAAGTTTTAATAAATGTTGGTTCCTGCCTGCCTTTTACATTTATCATCACGTTGGTGTTTTTATTGGGGTGAAAATGGCATGGAATACATGTCCAATTATGAGCTGCTTCCACAACTTTTCTGGGAAATAGGTAGGGATACAAATTATAAATACAAGCTAGAAATAGGATATTAGGGTATAAAACTTTACAAACTGTAAAGATGGGGACATAGGTTCTCTGGAAGGGTAGTCTGGAGATCTTTTTGACAAGTGAAACCCTCAGGCCAATACCTGCTTTGCTTACTCAATTCCCACCAGAATGGGTATTAAGATGAAAATAGACAAGGTGTGTGAAAATACCTAACCTGTGACTGTCACTCTCCCTCTTCTCCTAGAAAAAAAAATGAGCCCGCCACGTCATTCTTGCCTTGATGACAAAACAGAACATCTTGGGATGCTGAGGTTTCCCTAAAGCACAGCTGGTAATTTCTAAGAGAAACGCTGCCCGAACGTATCACATACATTTCATGAATTAAACTCTATCTAACTCACTCCAAATAAAGCAGTCTTTTTTTTTTTGAGATGGAGTTTCACTCTTGTTGCCCAGGCTGGAGTGCAATGGCACGACATCGGCTCACTGCAACCTCTGCCTCCCAGATTCAAGTGACTCTCCTGCCTCAGCCTCCCGAGTAGCTGGGATTACAGGCATGTGCCACTACGCCAGCTAGTTTTTATTTTTTGTAGAGACAGGATTTCTCCTTATTGGTCAGGCTGGTCTGGAACTCCCGACCTCAGATGATCCGCCCGCCTCGGCCTTCCGAAGTGCTGCGATTATAGGCGTGAGCCACCGTGCCCGGCCTAAAACACTGTCTTGATATCTGTACTTCCTTAAGAAAATCAATTTTAACTCAAAAGACTATCCATCCAGAAGCCCCCATTTCTACTGACATTCCTTCTGGAAATGACATGCCCTTTACCTGATGCACCTTTGCCAAAGGAACCATATTTCAGTTATGAACATTCTCCAATCAGCTTTTATTACGTCCCACTGAAGTGTTGGCTTTTATTTTAATGTCAACATATAAAGTGGCATACAGGCAATTTAAAATAACATACATGATATTGACATTTATACTTAGAACTTATGCAATATATTTACAGACATAGAAATACAGGACAATGTTTTACAAAATCTTTCACTAATTACATGTTTACAACATTTTCAGAAATAAAATGACATTTGCTGTAAACCACCTCACTGCGCTGTGTATATAGAAATGCTTCTAAATATCTATGTTTTCCTTCATTTCTATAACCATTTAAGAGCTTAGTTTCTACGAATTCATCAAACTCATCAGCATAGTCACACATCATCAGTCACTGCCGAGCTGTAGAAAGAAAGAAAGATCGCAAACTCCTTGATTAGCTGTATTTTAAATAGCTCTTAAGGAAGGTGGTCTCCTACTAAGATCTCCCTGCTCTGTGTTCCAGAGGAATACAAAGGCCCCTCTTCCCACGGTTGTTTCCACACCTGGTTATTACAAGAAAACACTGGGGTGCAAAGCATAGACTGTGAGTCTGAAATCCTGGAAACTGCTGACAGAAAACCTCTGTCAGTGGCAAGGGCTCTGCTGGGTGGACTGTCAGCCTGTTGACACTGTCAGTGCTGGGAAGGTCACTGCTTCAGGTCAGCGGAACGGTGGCCAGGTCATCTTCATCTTATGCTGGAGTCAAGCAAAGCTAAAGGTTAAACTGAATTGTGCTTTCCAATTTTTTTTTTTTTTTTTTTTTTTTTGAGACGGAGTTTTGCTCTTGTTACCCAGGCTGGAGTGCAATGGCGCGATCTCGGCTCACCGCAACCTCCGCCTCCTGGGTTCAGGCAATTCTCCTGCCCCAGCCTCCTGAGTCGCTGGGATTACAGGCACGCGCCACCATGCCCAGCTAATTTTTTGTATTTTTAGTAGAGACGGGGTTTCACCATGTTGACCAGGATGGTCTCGATCTCTTGACCTCGTGATCCACCCGCCTCGGCCTCCCAAAGTGCTGGGATTACAGGCTTGAGCCACCGCGCCCAGCCCCAATTTTTTTTTTTAAAAGGTACATACAAAATACTGAATACAAAAATTATCCCAACAAAAGCATCATGATTTGTTTTTACATCTTGATACAAAAGAAATTCATACCTCTGCAGAAGGTCTGACAGAACTTCAATGTATTTGATATTTTTCCTTCAATTATCAGCCAAAACTGCAGTTTTTCCTAACAATTCAAATACAAATCTGATTTACTTTGATAAAAATACATTAAGGTGGTTTCGTAATATGTGCAAAATTTGAAATAAGTTGAAATTTCCATTTATTCCTATGGGAAAATAAGTTGCAAATGTTGCAAGTACTGTATTATGCTCTGTAGTCTTGCTCTGTCACCCAGGCTGTAGTGCAGTGGCTCTATCTCGACTCACGGCATCCTCCACCGCCCGGGGTTCAAGCGATTCCCCTGCCTCAGCCTCCTGACTAGCTGGGACTACAGGCACGCCACCGCACCCGGCTAACATTTTTGTATTTTTAGTAGAAACGGGGGTTTTTCACCATGTTGGCCAGGATGGTCTCGATCTCCTGACCTTGTGATCCGCCCACCTCGGCCTCCCAAAGTGCTGGGATTACAGGTGTGAGCCACTGCGCCCAGCCTTTTTTTTGAGATAGAGTCTTGCTCTGTTACCCAGGCTGGAGTGCACTGGCATGATCTTGGCTCACTGCAACTTTCGCCTCCCAGGTTGAGGTGATTCTCGTGCCTCAGTTGCCCAAGAAGTCAGGATTATAGGTGCCTGCTACCATGCCCAGCTAATGTTTTAATTTTTAATAGAGATGGGATTTCACCATGTTGGCCAGGCTGGCTTGCATATGTTAAAAACAATCCTGTCCTTTCCTGAGTTTCATTTCATGTAATTTGGAGACTGTACTGAGGCTTACTGTTGACTAGTACAGTTTAAAAATACACATGGCTAAATTCTAAACAAGTTATATAAGGGTTGATGGGTCTGCTGGGAACTGTAAATACAATGGGGTCTGGCTGTAAGTGCTTAGACATTTTACTTTTGTTCTGTAAGATAGGGCATTGTGCGCAGATGTTTTATGTTATACAATTTATTTTTAGAGATGGGGCCTCACTCTGTTGCTCAGGCTGGAGTGCAGGGGTACAATCATGGCTCACTGTAGCCTTGACTTCCCAGGCTCAAGTGATCCTCCCACCCCAGCCTCCTGAGTAGTTGGGAGTACTGGCATGTGCCACCACACCTGGATTTTTTTTAATTTTTGGGAGACAGGGTTTTGCTATGTTGCCCAGGCTGCTCTCAAACTCCTGGGCTCAAGTGATCCTCCTGCTGAGCCTCGCAAAACGCTGGGATTATAGGCATGACCCACCAGGCCCAGCCTGTTATACAACTTTAAACCTGGTCAAAGTGGTAATGTTCTGATGAACTTGTTTCTCTGCAAGAACAAGGAAGAAAATATTACTTTGACCAGATACTCAACATGATTTGATCCAAAGCTACTTTTAGAAGGTACATTTACATGTTAAAAAGAGGGATAACATTATGCCCAAATGCATGCATTGGGAAAGAAAATCCAGAACAGAGCCGGGCGCGGTGGCTCAAGCCTGTAATCCCAGCACTTTGGGAGGCCGAGGCGGGTGGATCACGAGGTCAAGAGATCGAGACCATCCTGGTCAACACGGTGAAACCCCGTCTCTACTAAAAATACAAAACATTAGCTGGGCATGGTGGCGCGTGCCTGTAATCCCAGCTACTCAGGAGGCTGAGGCAGGAGAATTGCCTGAACCCGGGAGGCGGAGGTTGCGGTGAGCCGAGATCGCGCCATTGCACTCCAGCCTGGGTAACAAGAGCAAAACTCCTCCTTCAGCCTCCTAAAAAAAAAAAAAAAAAAGAAAATCCAGAACAGTTAACAACTACAGGGAAAAAAAAAAAAAAAAGATAACTAATATCTTCCACTTACTTTATTTACTGTTTTACAAAGGCAGTGAGCACCAAAAGATATCACCAACTAAATGGGGTCCAAATGTAGGGGAAGGAAAACCCAAGCAGGTGAAACTTGAAGGCCCCTGATGGTGTGTGTGAGCCCCGAGCCTTTTCCTCCACCCTAGTGGTAGAACCACATGGGGAGCGGGGGGAAAAGACAGGAAGCTGTTTTAAAGATGCCGTAAGTGCTTTAATTCAGCCACAGAAACTGGCGGTTCCCTGAAGGAAATATAGGAAACTTGCCTTTCCCAAGCTAGAAGTGTATGTGCTGTGAATACAATGTGTCTGCAGGACCGGGTGTCGAGCAGCAGCATGAGGAGGGCGGCAAGGGAGGCTGTGTGAGATCAATGCAGAGGACACAGAGCAGTGCACTCTCAGCTTAAGGATTTGGAACCCGTGTGAAAGGGCTTGTTTATACTGTCTACATCACAGGATGACATAGAACCACCCTCTGTGATGGACTGGAGGTGAAGGGAGGCCTAGAACACTGACCTAAAATACAACCTATCTGTTTCACTGTTTTACTATGCAAAATCTGGACCAGGCCCAGTAGCTCACTCCAGTAATCCCAGCACTTTGGGAGGCTGAGGCAGGAGGATCACTTGAGCCCAGGAGTTTCAGTCTAGCCTGGACAATACGGCAAGACCCCAACTCCTAAAAACAAAAACAAAAAAACTATGCAAAATCTAGGCCTTCGATATTATTTTTCTTTTGCCTTTGACAGAATAGTCTAACTCATTTGTCACATAGCTTTTCATTGTAAATGTGGCTAAAAAATGCAGTGAGGGAATTGCCTCCCTCCCCAAACATACAAATATCTAGCTTTGAACAGTGGTTTCCACTACATAAAAAACATGTGCAATGGGCTGGGCGTGGTGGCTCACACCTGTAATCCCAGCATTTTGGGAGGCAAAGGCGGGTGGATCACTTGAGGTCAGGAGTTGGAGAGCAGCCTGGTAAACATGGTGAAATCCCATCTCTACTAAAAATACAAAAAAATTAGGCAGGCGTGGTAGCACGTGCC